ATACTACAAGCATAAACTGTTTTATGTACTCATAACTATAAACCTATAAACCCTTTTCTAAGTTCTTATGAGAAATGTTGAAAACAGCTTTCATGTATTAAACAAATGCTAGTAATAAAAAAACTTTGCAATATTCATATATAAAAAATAGTACCATTGTTATAAAAATACTGAACATATTATCTTATACTCATTTCAGTGACTACAATTGCCATTCAGAATCTTTTTCCTAGCTATAAAGACTTTTAAGTTCATTTTTAACATAAACTCCAGAAATGTCTACAAATAATGACTAAAAAATTCCATTGAAAGTTTAAGAGTGGATGTCAAGGTTTTCCAAATCGTAAGATAATTATTTTTAAAAAGGATAATCCTATGTATGCCTATGTTCAATCTTAGTGGTGATAAGTTAAAAGGCTGAATGGCTGGGTTACTATTCCACAAATATGTATGAGTGTATTACCCCCTTTCTCTATATGTGCATGTCTCTTTTGGTGTCTAAAATCTCCATACTTTTCACTGTGTTTAAGGCACTTTATGCAATGCTGGCCCTTATGCCTGCCTTTTCTTTCCCCAACAAAGTGCCTTCTTAAGTAATTGTAAACTGTAAGTGGTAAGAAAGAGGGGTACCAGTATAAAGTATAATTATACTTTATAGAAGTCAATGGGATTAGTTTTAACATGATAGATATGTATTGTAATTTTATCCCCATTTCATATAGTAATATTTATTCTAAAAAGGTGACAAAAGAACAAGTTGAGAATGAAAGGGGTTTCAGTTGAGCCATAGATTCTCTGGGCGGGGGGGAAGGGGGAGAGAAATATGAAAAGCCAAAGGGGACTTTCTGAGAAAAGAGGAAATAAGAAATAAAATAATATGGGAGCAGGAGATAGAAGTCTTAGAAGCTGACAACCAAAGCATAAGGAGATTTAGCTAATGAAGATATAGAATGCAAATGCAAAATGGAAAGGATCAGTGATAACTTATAAGGAGGGCGTATGGCAAAAGTTAGAAATATGAGAAAAGATTTGAATGACAAAAACTAAGAAAGTGCCATCTGACTTGGTGTCTATAGTGACTGAAGATTTAAAAAAAAAAAAAAAAGATCTAAAGGGCCCTAATTAGAAAGTAGTTTAGTTGTATAGGTATCAAAAGGACCAAGGACTAGGACAGTGGTTCTCAACCTGTGGGTCGCGACCCCTTTGGCGGTCGAACGACCCTTTCACACGGGTCGCCTAAGACCATCCTGCATATCAGATATTTACATTACGATTCATAACAGTAGCAACATTACAGTTATGAAGTAGCAACGAAAATAATTTTATGGTTGGATCACACATGAGGAACTGTATTTAAAGGGCCAGAAGGTTGAGAACCACTTGACTAGGAGAAGATGGGTATATCTAGCTGTAGGGGTTAGGGAGTAATGAAAAAATTCAAGGTGAGTGACAAAAAGAAAGAGCGTTTACTGCTACAACCTCAAGATTGATTGCACAATGTGAAACATGCAATACATCTAAGATGTGTGCAGCTTGTCTCTTGAATTGAATTAAGTTACTATTTTTATGAGACACTGACCCCTGAAATAAGAGGTTCCCTACATTACATCCAAAGTTAGGAAAGTCAAATAGGGCATCAAAGGACTAGGAAAGCTTTCAGTAATTTTTGCCACATGGATGCCTCTATTAAAATCAAACACTAGAGGTTTATTTTTGTATGGAAAAATCATGAAATTTTATGGTTGCCTTTATTACTTAATTTTCCACACTTTATTTGTTCCTTGCTGTACATTTTGGAGATGTAGCAAGAGTTTGACAGACAAAAAAAGTAGGACTTAACATTTGTTCTCAGTAAGCAGCTGCTCAATAAGATAATATTTCCAGTTACTGGCTTAGAAAGCAAGATTCTGAGATTACTGCTGGACGTAAGCCTCTGACCTGTCAACCAAAAAAGTTACTTCCTCTTTAGTATAATGAATTGCAGAAGTACAGTTAAACAGTTATCTATGAGGGTTTATTAGCAGGCATCGGATATGGTGGGTGAGCAGATACTGATTTTTTTTTCGCTGGTGACCAAAATATTTATGGTTTCATAAAATGGAAAGAACTTTCTAAAAAATTACTAAGATCTGTTTCACAAATAAGCAATTCAACTGGAACACTGAATAGTAGAAATGATAAAGATTTGTTCTTCTGGTTCATAAAAAATTTATATCAGGGCATTCAAGTAAAGTTATTTTCTGTGTTCTGATTTAATGAATCATGTGAGTTGTATCTGGTTGGGTGACACAAATGCTGGCTCAGTGAAGCCTACCCTAATGTCTCCCAGCACAGCCTTCCTTGGGACAGTAAAGCCAGAATAACATGTCTGACTAAAATAATATCAGAGAAAGAGAAAGAAGGACTGGAGATGCTGTGAGGCTGGCTCATAACATTTCTTGACCTGTGAGTGTCCAGTATGTATTCAATGTCCTATGGGCTTCAATGACCTAACAAGTACCAAATAGCAACAGTAATTAAGTAATGAATGGTCCTCAAAAAAAAAAAAAAGACTTTTGCAATTCAAGCTGAAAAACACTTACTTACTAGATGGTTTTAACCCTACTGAAAGACATCCTAAGAAACCACTAGTGATTTCTTTAATCCTTTGTATGCCATAAGCATCTATAGACACAAGGATGGTTTCCGTTTTGGATGCGTAGCAGTTAACTGGCTATGGATGAGTGAATATTAAATGTTTTATATATGTTTGTGTAGTATCTATTTTAGTTCCTTTAAATGTTTGATTTTAAAGATATACATTAATTTTGAAAATGAAACTTTTCTGATGCTATTAATGATAAAATATGCTGAAGAAAAACAAAATAGCATTAGATATGTTGATAAAAATATAGATTTAAAATAATGTCCATTTACCACATTTATTAACAGTGTGTTAATAAAATACACTGTTAAAAATGAAACTAAAGAACCCTCTGCATATATCCCACACAGGGATGTTCTTCTCTTTCAAAAGATAAGTAATATTTGCAAAGAAAAAGGCCATCAGAAAAAAAGACAATAAAAATATAGAGAATGATTATAACATATCAAAATATAGCATATCACTTTACATAAAAGTTATTTTATTATAAAGGAAATAAAAATAAGACACAAAATAGGGTTACAACATTTTCTAAGGATGTTTACAAAATCAATGAACAACTCTGTTTTTCCCTAATCAAAGTTCTTTATATTTAGTATTTAGTTAAAATCTGAAAGAGTACTTACAATGACAGCAATACCATAGCAATTAAGGTCCATTCTGCAGGTTTGTGTATAATATTTCTATTTGTTAATCTGAAAGACAGTAAGATAAAATTTACCAAAGGATTGTTATATTTTTCTATTTATAGAAAAGTCAGAAATATGACATCATTTGTCAAAGAGCACTATTTTTTTTATTTTTGTTAGATTAGATAAGAATCAATCCTATATAATAAAAGGCTAATATGCAAATTGTCCCCTCAACCGGGAGTTTGACCAGGAGTTCAACTGGGAGTTCGACCAGGGTACAGGGCTGGCCAGCAACCGCCTGTGGCCCTTCCCTCTGGCTGCCCCCCCCCCCAATCTTCCCCCCCCCATCGGGGGCAGGGCCAGCTGGCCAACTGCCCGCCGCCCCTCCCCCCGGCCGGCCTGGCCCGATAGGCCCCAATAGGGGTTGGCTGGCCAGACCTCACCTGTGCATGAATTCGTGCACCGGGCCTCTAGTAGCATAATAATATGGCTTGATATTCACTATCTAATAATGATCATCTCAAAAGTAAATATTCCAGTCCTACTATTATGTATTTATAACAATACTATTATATAAAATGGAAATAAAGGAACAACATGGGAAACTAAATTGCATGGTTTATTAAAATACAGACATCCCTATAACCATATGCTCTGTTTTCCCCAATCAAACATTTTATTAAAGCTAACAAGGTAAGCCCTGACCAGTTTGGCTCAGTGGATAGAGCGTCGGCCTGCAGACTCAAGGGTCTAGGTTCGATTCCCGGTCAAGGGCATGTACCTTGGTTGCGGGCACATCCCCAGTGGGGAGTGTGCAGGAGGCAGCTGATCGATGTTTCTGTCTCATCGATGTTTCTAACTATCCCTCTCCCTTCCTCTCTGTAAAAAAATCAATAAAATATATTAAAAAAGAAAAAAAAGCTAACAAGGTAAGCAATTTTTTATTTTAATTCATCTTTCATACTTTTCTACCTCATGCTAGGTTGCCAGTAGGCAATTATGGGATGTCATAATCCATAATATACAGAAATGAGCATTCACTTAATACATTTTAAGGCTAGGTCTCTATAAAGAAAACTTAAGTTTTAAAAAATCAGCAGAAAATTCTATCACTTAGCAGCTGATGACAATAAAATATTTTGTAATCATCTTAGTTTCTCAGAAAGCATTTAAAATGATTACTCTAAATAAAAAATAGTATCAATCAATCAGGAAAAACCAGCCAATAATATCTGATAAAAGGATGTTATCCAAAATATACAAAGAATGCTTAAAATTTAACAATAGGAAAACAGCCCAATTAAAAAATGGGCCAAACATGTTAATAGACACTCCACAAAAGATAAACAAATGACAGATAAGCATATGAAAAGATGCTCCATATCATATGTTACCTGAGAAATGCAATTTAAAACAAGTTATCACTATATACCTATTAGAATGGCTAAAATCTTGAACATTGACAAAACAAATGCTGATAAGCATGTGGAGCAAATGGAACTCTCATACATTGCTGGAGGGAATGCAAAATGGTACAGTCACTTTGGAAGACAGATTGGCAGTTTCTCACAAAGTAAATATATTCCTACCATATGATTCAGCAATCATGCTTCTTGGTATTTACTCAAAGGAGTAAAAAAATCATGTCCACACAGAAACCTACACACAGCATTCACAGAAGTTCTATTCATAATTGCCAGAACTGGAGACAACCAGAGTCTTTCTGTAGGTGAATGAATACATTGTGGTATATCTAGATGAGGGAACATTACTCAGCTGTAAAAAAGAAACGAGCTATCACACCAGGAAAAGACATGGAGGTACTTTATATGCATATTACCAAAGTGAAAGAAGCCACTCTGAAAAGGCTACATACTGTATGATTCCAACTATACCACATTCTTGAAAAGGTAAAACTATCAAGATAGTAAAAAGATCAATAGTTGCCTCAGGGGAGAGGGGAAAGGGGTATAGGTGGGAGAGGGGTAGATGAATAGGTGGAACACAGAATTTTTAGAGCAAAGAAATACTCTATGATACTAAAATGATGGATACATGTCATCATACATTTGTCCAAACCCATAGAATATACAAAATCAAGAGTGAACTATAGACTCTAGGTGATAATGTTGTTGTCAATGTAGGTTTACCAACTGTAGCAAAATGCATTACTCTGGTAGGGAATGTTGATAAGGTGTACATCTAAATAAAATATTACAAAATGCAATAATACATTAATTCTGAGTAGAGAATATGTGTATCTTTGTTAATCTAGATTTTTTCCATAGTTAAAATGTCTTACAAAATTTTGAAAATTCTAGATGACATAAAAAATACAGTACAGAGGCTAAAAAGTTTGACAGACATGGACTCAGTACACATATCTATCACTTAGTAGTGTTTTACCTTGGGCACATTCAACAGCTGTAAAACTTTTTTTAATTTAGTAAAACAGGAACAATAGTACTACCTATCCCAGGGTTTTTATGAGGATTAAGTGTACAAAAGACATCCACGTTGCCAAATTCAACGGACATCTCTGAGTCCTCTATCTTAATCTATCAGCAGCATTTGACACAGTTGATCACTCCCTTCTCCTTAGAACATTTTCTACACCTGGTTTCCACTTGCCTGATTTCCCTCTCTCTCACTGGCCTCTTTGAAAAAAAAAATAAATAAAAATACACACACACACACACACACACACACACACACACACACACACTCGAGGCCCGGTGCACAAAAATTTGTGCACTGGCAGGGGTGGGGGGGTGTCCCTCAGCCCCACTTGTGCCCTCTCACAGTCTGGTATCCCTCGGGAGATAACGACCTGCTGGCTTAGGCCCACTCCTGGGTGGCAGGGGCAGGCCCAATCCCTAGGTGCCTGCCCCGCAGCTCCTGGTCGGGATCAGAGAAGGGCTGATTGGGGAGTTGGGGCACCACCCCGTCATGCACAGAGCAGGGCGGATGAGGAGGTTGCGATGCCACCCTCAGTCACACTCAAGGCAGGGTTGATGGGGAGGTTGCAGCGCTACCCCCTGTCACGCACAGAGCAGGGCAGATCAGGGGGGTTGTGGTGCCACCCCTATCACATACAGAGCCGGCCGATCAGGGGGTTGGGGCGCTGCCCCGTCAGGCACAGAGCAGGGCCGATCAGGAGGTTGTGATGCCTCCCTCAGTCATGCTCAGGTAGGGCGATTGGGGGGTTGG